AAATAGGATATAACAATGAGAGTACTTGATAATTGTAATACAATAGTTGCTTCATCACTTGAACAAACAACATGGTTAAGAAAAAATTTACAAGTACGCGTTGCACAACCTGATAATCAATCAACTAAAAGTAGTTCAACTGGCAGTCAAACAACATCGACAGGCCTCGGTTCATCGCATGAGACTGGGAATATTCCTGTTGATGATACTGCTGATTTTGATGGTTAGTAATATTGATATTGCAAAAACGAAAGAAAAGAATAGCGAATAAAAGTTTTTGTTTTCTTTTTGTGAACCAATATTTAGCCCGTAATGCATTGTTGACAGTAGTTAATATGTTCGACAAATTTTCAGCTAAAATTGTACCGCAAACTGTTTTTAATATAGCTTTACGAGGTATTTGCTAAGAGCTAATCTAATACAACTAATCTCATCACCTATTTGACTCGAATACACTCTTTTAGTAACATTAAAAGTATAGATTTTCTAACAAGAGAACTACACGATTTGATACCGATCGCTGAAGAATCTATTGAAGCTCAAATATCGAGAGTTCAATTGCTGTGTCACCATCTATGCCACAAAACTCGGGTGAATTTGAAAATTCCATACCTCAATGTCATAACATTCTTTGCAGCTGAAACTTTCAGAACATTCTTAAAGTCATTTGACCTGTAAATAGGTAAGGTTTTAACTCAAAATTTTCTTGTTTGATTTTTCGATAAATACCTAAACCTGGATAGAAAAATCATTGGAACGATTTCCACTTGGCTCTAGGAACCTATGAACACAAATCATTTCAGAATTTTTCTAGTCTTACCAAGACTTCCATATGAACTCAGTATGATCTCGAACAGCGGGTATCAGTTCAGGTAGTTGACTCCTAAGATAATACATTCGGTTTGGTGTTATGATTATCTATTGCTAACCATTTAAATAAATAACATGCACTTTTTCTTTTGAAAGGAAAGGATCTATATTCGACTAAAAGCTCTTTCAAATGTTACTAACAAACGATTGAAAAATTATTCTTTCGGAAAGTCGTTAGATAGTGCATGAATTTAGAAGAATCATACTGTTTTCATAAGTTAAGAATAATATCAGATGATCATAGTATTATTGAAATTTTGAAAATCAAAGTTATAGTTTGTTTGTAAATGTTATTAAAAAAAACTAACAAGACTTATGCCGAAAAAGAGATAAAGATGTCACATATGCATAGATCTGAGTCCTATAGGATTACTGAATTCATTATATGGAACTTCGCTAAGCAATTTTCATGTTATTGTTTTTATCGAAACAAAAATAGCTGAACTTTTGGAATTTCTTCCGATTATAAAAAAGAAAAACCGGTGTCATAACTTACCCTCAATAGTTTTCTATTAATCATGGATGAAATGAAGAACAAATTTTACTAATAGTTTATGATTAATAATTCTTTTAACACATTTATAACCGTTTTTTTTTTGTTTATATACAATTCATTCTTTTTCTCTGTGAAACTAGGTGTAACACAAGTTAATAATACAGGAGACCTTACAAACAATGGAAATTTTAGTTATCTAGCATTATCAGTTCTTGCTGAACATGCTGCAACATTACTTGATATAGTTTATAATAGAACAGATGAAAAAGATCGTGTTGTATTACCATTTTTACAAAATCTTGTAACAAATGTTATGCCATATGTACGTACACATGTATCAGCAAATGCTCCATCATATCGTTCAGCATCAACTTTACTTATGAATATATCACAATATTCTTATACACGAAAAGCATGGAAAAAAGAAGCATTTGAACAATTATTTGATGTAGCATTTTTTCAACTTGATATTATTGCATTACGTTCATGGAAAATAATTGTTGATAATATGATAACGAATGAACGACCGACATCATTTCGTGATGTTATGACAAAAATTAATACTGTACAAACTGGTTTATTTGTATCAAAAGAACATGAATATGAACAACGTGCTATGCTTGTTAAACGTTTTGCTTTTGTTATATATGCATCAGAAAAAGATCAATATAATCGACAATTACCTGAAATACTTGAACGTATTGCTGATTTACTTAAATTACCACAAGTACCAATATTACATACACAAATGTTTCTATTTTTACGTGTTCTTTTATTGAGAATATCAACTAAAAATTTAATCTCATTATGGCCAATACTTATGACAGAACTTATACAAGTTTTATTACAACTTGAACAAGATCTTATATCTGATCTTGATGGTGAAGTCAAGTAAGATAAAATTTTTCATGAATTATTATAAAATGATACATTTAATAAACTTTCATTTTTTTTTTTTTTCTTAAATAGATCTCATGTACAGCGAATGGTAACCAATGACTTAGCTACAACAAATGTATCAAATACTTCAAATGCTTCTAATCCTGCACTAAAAATGTATTTATATGCGTGTAAATTACTGGATGTATTATTAGCCATGCCCTATTCAGAATTATATCATTTTCAACTGTAAGTTAATTTTGAAATTTTTATCAGTTCATTTTTCTTTTGTGGAACTCACATATATTCTCCAAAAAAAAAAAGTAGGTATAAATTTAAATATAAAAACTTTTTGTAACTCCCCTTCTCTAGACTCTAGTCACATTGCTTTTCTAAAGTTCTGTAGCAACGAAAAAAAAGTGATCAACACCATTAAAAATAGGATTTCCACTGTTCTAGAAGATTCTAAAGTCTTCATCGAAATTTAAGTGACGACAATACCTTTGTAAATATTCTAAATAGTGAATTTTTTTTTATTTTCGTGCATTCAAGTTATCAAGAACAATAGGTAGTGATGCATCGATTTGCTACAATTGTTATTCGATCAACATAAAAAGCGTGAACTAATCAATATTAGTATCTTATCGAGATAGATAATAGACTTTCTGTAGATATAATGAATATATACAAAATGCTTATTTTCTAGTTAAATCAATATTTAAAATAATAATCATGTTAAAAAAGAAATTACGAAAAAGAAAAACAACGAGCGAAAACCTATAAGAAAAACAAAATATAGAGTGTCAGTAAACAGAAAAACAACTGTCTTCGAAACACAAAAATAAATAAGACAGATCATATCCCTGGCGATCGATTATCCTTGACAAACAAAAATAATCTGCTTAAGATGTTTTACTTAACATATCTTATGTTAGTATATTGTGGTTAATGAATATATGTAAATTCCACATTCGAGTCCCAAATGAATTTTTACTGACAAGCTTTTTGTTTTTATATTTAAATGTTTTATTTTGTTGTTGTCTAGCTTTCGTTCTGCATTTGTTACTGATGAATATATAAATGATAGAAAATCCCCTATTGATACATTTATTGCATTTTCAATACGTTTATCAAAATTACTTGAAAGAAAATTACAATTAATGTCAACATCAATACATGAACGTCTTCCAATAATAAAAAATATGAATCGTCCATTACTTCGTTTACGTACAATAACAAATATAATTGAATTATATCCATTTTTTAATTGTCTAACACAAATGCATACATATGATCATCATCATTATCAACATTCATTACCAACTCATACAAATATATCAAATAAACAAATATCATTACCTAAAAAGAAAGAATCATCTAAGAAGAAAAATAAATCTTTAATACATATATCATCATATAGAAAATCTGACTCAACAACAATGAATTCAATAAAAGAAGAAACAATGAGTGAAATTGAAACAAGTGTACTTGAAGATTTTGTTGAATCATGGATATAAATTCTTATTAGTTTATTTATTCTTATTTTATTTTGTTGACTTAAGCATAACAATTTGCTAATATATTTATATATACATATATATATATTTTATTTTCTTCTTCCCTTTCCGTTAAATGATTGAACAGTTTGATAGGTTTACATCTCTTCTGTTTTCTTTTTTCTTTTTGTTGTTGTTGTCAATTCTATAATGTTTAAAAAGATCTCTTTTTTTTTTCTTTTCTGTTATTATTCGAAAAAAAAAAAAAAAAAAAACTTTTATTGATGCTACATGCGCTTGTTTATTACAAATAAAAACAAAAAACAAACCCTTCTTATTTCAGATAATGGAACCAAAAAGAATTTTGTCAATATGTTTTGGTGTATTACTTCTTTGGATACTTGTTGTATTAAATCTTTTTCCGATTAATTTACCAACATTTTTATATCAAATAATTCTTATTATTCCATTTATTGCAATTATTTTATTTGGATTTTATTCATTATTTTATTTAACATATAAAGTTATTAATCTTAAAGATTGTCCTCAAGCACAAATTGAATTACAACGTGAAATTGAACGCATCAAACATGATTCTCGCTATCAATCATTATTTCGTGCAACAACAACAACAACAACAAGTATTCGTTAAGAAGAATTCGTACTAATATTTGAGACTTTTGCTTAACTGTTGGTTATGTCAGTCTTTTTTTTCTTTTCTTTTCAATAAAGAAAAACAACAATACATGATGACGAAGCATGTTTTTTAAATGACTGTTTTACTTATTTTGAATAGGTGAGCAAATCATGAAGACATGTACCTGATGTCGAAATAGCTTTAGTGAACAAAGGAAAAGAAATTGATGACACTTAGAAAAATATTTTCATTTTTTTCAATTAAAACTCTAGACAGTAAGATAATTTTCTTATTATACATGAAACTATATATCATCTAAAAAGAATAGATGACTTTTACATATTATCTATTTTCTGAGCATGTCTTTAGTCATTCATACCAAATTATAATGACAAAAGCAGAATATTTATTTATGTTTCCTTTCGCAGAAATTTCTTTTTTTTACTGTCATAAACTATTTGTCTTGATTAACGCTGGTAAAAATTTTTGTGTATTATGACTTTTTTTTTTCTTTTCCAGATAACAGAATATAAAAGAATTTTATATTTATTCTTGTATGTTACGCGCTCTTCGTGTCATTAAAATCAAAGTCCAATTTGTACCCGCGCCTACTTTCTCCATCATGCAATCAACATCTGGAAATACTCAAAGACCTTCATCATCAAGACCAGCATCTAGTACAACGAAATCTTATGCTCCACAAAATCTTCCTGTCTATGATTATGATCTTGTTGTAGTTGGTGGCGGCTCAGGAGGTAAGAAAATTAAAAAAAAAAAAAGAATATTAAAATGAGATTTATAATATTTATTGTTTAATATTATATTTAGGTTTGGCAGCAGCAAAAGAAGCAGCAAAATTAAATAAAAATGCTAAAGTAAATCTTTTTGGATTAATTCTAAAATGATTGATGTTTTTCTAATTAATTTTATTTTGATTTCAAGGTAGCTTGCTTTGACTTCGTTACTCCAACATATCATGGAACAAAATGGGGTCTCGGCGGTAAATAATAATTTCTAATAGTTCTCAGTATTTTTTGAATTCCATGCTTTTGTTTAGGTACATGTGTTAATGTTGGTGTAAGTATAAAATTAGTTTTATTTATTAATTAAATTTCGAGACGTGAATCAAAAGGATCGTAACATCAGATATATCTTATCACAAACAAATTCTATAGTATTGAATTTTTCTTAAAAGATGTGCTGGGAAATTCTCTATAAGAATATCGATGAAAAATTCCATGAACTTGTTTTAAATATTTTCTTATAAGACTAAAATTGATGCATTGTGTGATTCAAAAATGGGCTCGGTTTGGTTAGCAATATCCTAAATCAATTTTGGTTTCGGTTCAGTATAAATTTTGAAATAACAGAACCGAGCCTATCTCTGGTATGCCGATCAAATATCTCATTCTTTTTGAGAGAAATAAAAGTGAAGATAACGATGATTATTTTCGATATATCTCACCAATAACAAATCAAAAAAGTCTTAACTTATTTTTTTTATGCGTCATGGAGTTTTCTAATACTTATGCATAAAAAAGTCCTTTGAGTTATACTGATGAGTTTTATTAATGACACAAAAGATAAAGATCTTCGTCACGTTAGTTTTGTTCATTATAATAATGAAAAAGCAGCTTGAAAATTTTTAAGTACCATGCCTAAAGATCGATACTCTTATAATTTTATTATGCTTAAATCCATTAGATTACTCTATTATGGCTCATGTTAACAAGAACCTTGGTTATAAGAAAATCAAAATAAGAGATGATTTGAAGAAACAGGTTAATGAAGCACATCAAAAGAATTCTTTTATGATTATATGATTTCATTTGAGCTTTTATAATAAAGTATATTATGCAAAAATTTGTTTGAAATAAAGAGAAGACTTACTTTTCGGTGTTATTTTCGTTTTTGTTTCTCTCAAAATAATGAAATATTTAACCAATATATAATGCTTCAATTTTTAGCTTTAATAAGAAAATATTATAAAAAAATTAATCTTTAAAAAAAAAAGACAAAATTCAATGTTATAAAATTTATCTATATTGAGATTTACCCAATTTTGCAAATATTTTGCCTCATCCAGTTTAATAAATTTTTTTCTTAAAGTGCATTCCCAAAAAATTAATGCATTATGCTGGTATACTTGGTAATATGCTTCATCGTGATGCAGCTGAATTCGGTTGGAAAAATGTTGATAATCGTCAACATGATTGGACAACAATGCAAACAATGATTGGAAATTACATAAAATCTCTTAATTTTTCATATAAAGTTCAACTTCGTTCAGCTAATGTTACATATTTAGAAGGTTTAGCACAATTTATTGATGCACATACTATTGAATGGAAAGTAAATAATAATAATAATAATCATAAAAAGCTTCTAAATTGATCTTTCTTTTGCTTGGTTAGAGTTTAACAAAGAGTGGTCGTTTAACATTTAATAAAGCAATTATTGCAACCGGTGGTCGTCCAACATACGGTGATTTCCCTGGACGAGAATTGTGTATCAGTTCTGATGATGTTTTTTGGTTAAAAAAAAGTCCCGGTAAAACTCTTATTATTGGTGCAGCTTATATTGCACTTGAATGCGCATCTTTTCTTCATCACCTTGGCAATGATGTTACTGTTATGATACGTTCAAGACCATTACGTACAATGGATCATCAATGTGGTGAAATGGTATGTGAATTAATGGAACGTGATGGAGTAAAATTTATAATGCCAGCTAATCCACGTTCATTTTCTGCTGTCGAAAAACCGAATAAATTAGAAAATGCTAAAGAATGTCGACCTGGTGTTTGGGAACATGGAAAAGATGCTAAAGGAAATGATCAATTTTTACATGAATCAGGAGCGATTGAAGTTCAACATGCTGATGGAAAAATAACATGGATTCATCCAAAAGGAGAAATTGAAGCTAAATATGAATATGCCGATCAACGAAAAGGAAAAATACACTCAGAATATTTTGATACAGGTACATTTATTATTTTGAAATCGATCAACTAACAGATGATCAGAAAGTTTTTAGACAGAATGTTTATTCATTTTTAAACCATTAGAAAATATTTTCGACGAGTCAAATGTTATGAGTTAGGATGCTTCTTTTTTTTTTTTAATATAAACTTAGAAATTTTGTTCAAAAGTAATGAAATAAACCGACATGAACATGAAAAATAGGTTGGATGGACAATTTTTTGTACTTTCACTATTTTAAATCGAAACTAAAAGTGGTGATTTTCATTTATATATGACTTCATAGATCAGAAGCTACACTATAAAATGCACTATTTGAAACTTCATTATTGTCTTTCGATCGAGTACTTCAATCTTTGTTTTTTTCTAAATACTCATTTTTGAAGATTTGACAACCGTTTACGTTAAAAGAAGCAAATGCTTGTTGCTTCACTTGAGTAACAGCTACAGCTTAGTTAAAAATATTATTTTGTAGAGTAGCGTCTGCTCTACAAAATGGTCGGCTCTGAGCATTTGCTAGAATGTTCGAGTAAGAACCTATAGGGTAAACAAAAAATATGTTGGCTCACCATTAAAAATAATTTTTCAAAGCTTAGAAAAACTTTTCTCACTACTCTGGAACAAAACTAATCATAAAATTTGTAAGCTCGAAACATTAATAATGACTTATAGATTTTGGCTCGTCGAAAATACTTTTTCATGGTTCAAAAGTGAATCAACATCATGTTGAAAAACTTTTCGATCACTCCTGAATACACTATGTTTCTATTGTTTTAGTTTTATTGGCTATTGGTAGAACAGCTAATATTGCTGGTCTTGGTCTTGAAAAAATTGGTGTACATGTTGTGAATGGAAAAGTTCTTGTTGATGAACGAGAACAAACTAGTTTACCGCATATCTATGCATTGGGTGATGTAGCAACTGGTAAAGAAAAAAAACTAAAGAATTCAGTTTTTTAAAATGCCTTTTCTTGCTGTTCTAATGGAATCCTAATAGAATCTGATCGTAATAATGAAATGTCAGTTTTCGATTAATTATAACAATTCTAATTAATTCTACTTTTCATGCCAAAATGAAAGCTGAATTAATTCCTTTCTTTCAATAGAATTTTAATAACTAGAATATTTATATAAAGAAAAAGAAAGTTTATAAAGATTTTCTTTCAAACAAAAAGAACATTTGACTACACATAATAAAGCTTCTCTGCATAAGAATCACAATACTGTTCGAGTATATTTATAAAAGAAGCTAGTCGAAATCTTTTAATCTTGATAATTAATCTTGTCTATAAGGATTACTATCTATTGTTCATAACGAATGATTTTATAAGACTTTTTTCGTTTGGTCTTGTACGATAATTAAAAATTTCTTAGGTGTTATTCAACATGGTAAAGATTTGTCACATCAAGCGCAAGTTACTGTTGAGCGACCTGAATTAACACCTGTTGCTATTCAAGCTGGACAATATTTAGCACGACGTATATGTAATGTATCGGATCAATTAATGAATTATCGGAATATACCATCAACAGTATTTACAAGTCCATCTGAATACAGTTTTGTTGGTCTTCATGAAGAACAAGCAATGCGATCACGTGAAGGTTGCTATATCATAACAAAAAAAAAGGAAACTTCATTTTTTTATCTTAAAAACCCCTTTTTTTCTGTTTAGATGGAGGTATTGGTGCAGAAAATGTACGTATTTATTGGTCACGGTTTGGTAATTTAGAAATATCTCCAATACATGCACATTTAAAAATGCCACGTAGCGAATGTTTCGTAGGAAAAAACTCTTGGGCACAACAATATGCATTAAAAAATAATCTTGATTGGCCCGAAGTAACATATGATTTAGAAAATACAAATTATGTTTTATTTAATGATGGTATTGGTGGTCAAAAAAGTACAATTGCACGTGTAATAAAAAAATATCGTAATGAACAAGCAAATAATAAAATAACATATGATATTGAAATTCAAAATGAAGAAAAAACAATTATACAAGGTGTTACTGGTGAAAAATTACAATTACAAGAAGAACAAGAATTAGAAAAAGCTGAAGTGTTTTATAAAGCAAATTGTTTAGCTAAACTAATCTGTGATAAAAGTCAAAATGATCGCGTAGTTGGTCTTCATTTTATGGGACCAAATGCTGGTGAAGTTGTACAAGGTTTTGCATTAGCTATTATGATGGGCGCAACAAAACAACAATTTGATGAGCTTGTTGGTATTCATCCAACAGCTGCTGAAGAATTTACTGTATTAACTGTAACCAAAGAATCTGAAGCAACATTATTGAAAGCGGCTGGTTGTGGTGGAGGTTCATGTGGTTAATCAATTATTTTTTTACGCATCTATAACAATTATAAACTGAATATAATGTATCGGTTTCTCGTTAATCAAGGATTAATATTACATCTGTAGTTAAACAAAACAAAAAATCAAATATATGTATATCAAGAAATAGAAAGATAAACCTAAAATGAATAGATTTGTTTGTTGTTTTTTTATTTCATAAGAAGTTATATTTAGACAACAAAAAAAAAAGAAATGAAAGGATGAGGATTGTTTTGATAAGAAGATTAATAATAGAATTACTACGTGGGTGATAATGATACTTATTTAATATCATACTTTTTCGCAGATAATTATTGAGTCACGAACTACAATAAATTGATTCTAATTTTTATCGATGAAAAAGGTTTTTTCTTATTCGTCATTTATCTCAATAACTTAATGAACGTCAAAACCTAAATGAATGTTGAAAGCTTTTTCTTTTTCATTGATTGTTCGCTTCATGATAAAGTGATGCAGTTCTTCTATATAATGGCATAAGTTAACAAGTGTTTCTCAACAAGTTACAATATTTTCTTCAATTTTCTCATGCTCTTTGCATTTTATAATAGTGATGAAAAAGGTGTCGATATATACGTTGTTTCATAAATTCTGAAGTTCGATAGCAATTAATTTATATGCGGACAAGAAATGTCCTCTAATTGAATGTATCCATATAGCGTTTGAATACTCCTTTTGACGTTTCAAATGACATAATATGGAATAACATCTTCTATAGTAAAAATATTAGAGTACAAATATAAGAATATAGAGTTCAATTTATCGAAACTGACC